CAACAATACAAAACTACTTTTTGACAATGCAGTCAAGGTGCTCAGGTTTTCACTTCAGCATGGATTTGGATGACGACTCGCGTCTTAGGAATATATTTTGGACAGACAATCGGTCTAGGCAGGCAATTGAGGAGTTTGGGGATATTGTTTCATTTGATACCACCTACCTGACCAATAAGTATGACATGCCATTTGCCCCTTTGGTGGGCGTAAATTATCATGGACAATCGACATTGCTGGTTGTGGTTTGGTGTCGAACGAGGATAGAGGTACTTTCGTGTGGCTTTTCACAGAATGGCTTAAGTGTATGCACGGTCTGTAACGCCCCGAATTCTAATAACCCGAAACATTACGAAACATGAATATACCTTGAAATAAACAGTTTTAATATAACGAGAAATTTTATAGAAGATTGAATAACATTTAATCAAAAGATAAATTTAAATATGCGAAACGTTTGAAAACATATCATTCATCCAAAAATTATTAGAATAGTTAAAACTAATTGAAAATTTATAATGCACTCACAATTGGGTCAAAAATGAATAACCCATTATTAGTTCTAGTGTTTTTGAAAATTAAAATACTTCATGATGAGGATTCGTTGGTCCAATAGCAAATCCATCCACCGTCGTCCAGCATACTAATTATTTCCTGAAAATTGTAAATAAGGGAATGAGAATAACGAATTATACTCAATAAGATACTTTCTACTCCACATTCAAGTCAAACATGAAATTACAAATAAATTATCTTACCAACATAACATGAGAATTATCACACCATGACAAATGATAATTCTAGCAAGCACTGCAAAATAACGTGAAGGCTAAATTGTGCCTTAAAATGTATCATGATTTCTCCCGAAGGAGCCTGAATTGAAGTAATTAAATTCATAATAGCACTGAGTATCTCACCTTTTGAAGATGAAAGTGGAGAATAAAATTGCAGAAATGTGATTGCAATTCCAAAGCCTTAAAAAATCTAAATAATATAGAGGAATATTTTAAAGAGGGAGAGGTAATGGACGTGTAGTAGAATGTGGTTTTAGTCCTCTATTTATATTGTTGAAGTCGGGTAATCACGTGGGGGAAGTGGAATTTCAGCCATATTTAAATTCGTATTTCATGCAATCTTCTGAGAAATTGATTCATAATTCCCGATTGATATAGTATGACTGGAGATTAATTATTGGTTTTCTGCCAATTTCTATATCAATTACAATTACAACAAGGAAATGATAGGCATTACACTGCATGACTTTTACACGTGGACGGGGAAAACAAATCTGCCTCCTATTTGCATAATTTACTCTAATACAAACATCTTAAATTGTCAATCTCCTAATGGCCGAAAATTATAAAATGTATGCTTATTAATTAAATTAGAATTTCAGTACAATCTTTCCAAAATTTGTTCCAATTAGGGGACATAATGATTACTAATTATATGGACACGTGAAAGTTGTAATGAAATGCATGGGTTACTCATGTACTAAAGTCTAACGTCAAATAATTCAAATTCCTTTGATTTGCATTTAACTAAATTTGTAAGCAGGAATTACGTTTTTAATTGATTACCTCTTAATTAAAAATGTATAATTATTAATACTTAACATAAAGACTTCGTTTAACCAAAACTTAAAATTCTAATTTATTTAGCTAAACTAGTGGTGGCAGTCAACTGGCGAAAAATCTAATCCTTTAAAACTCTTATAACCATAATATTCTTTAGACGGCTAAAACTCGGGTTTAACTTGACCAAATTAAATTTTTCTTGAGTCCATAATTCGCCATTTATTATGAGCTTCAAAATGAACCCAATATTGGTAGAGTAATTCTAACTCCTTCAATAGTTAATTATTTGGCATTAATAAAGTATAAAATAATTTGATATTTTTTTTTTTAAATTTGGTCCCTCGACTAATAAGATAACTATAGAGATAATCAATTAACTTGCATAAGAATTTAACCAAACATTGCATTCCTATTAAATGGCAAATAAAAATATATGCGAATTTTAGTTAAAAATTCGGGATTCTACAACCTACCCTCCTTAAAATAATTTCGTCCTCGAAATTACCTTAGATTAGTTGAAAAGTTTGGGATACTTGATTTTCATCTCATCTTCCTTTTCCCAAGTTGCTTCTTCCACTCCATGGTTACGCCATAGGACCTTGATTAAGGGAATATCCCTATTTCTCAGTACATGAACCTTTTTTTCTAGTATCCTCAATGGCATTTCTTCATAGGTCAAATCATGTTGTACATCTAATTTTTGATGGTTGATCACATGATTAGAATCCAGTAAGTATTTTCGCAACATTGATACGTGAAAAACATTATGCACTGCTGAAAGTTCTGGTGGCAGTGCTAGTCTATATGCCACATCTCCGATTCTTTCTAACACATCGAATGGTCCAATGAATCTTGGTCTCAATTTTCCTTTCTTTCCAAATCTAAGTACTCCCTTCATTGGAGCTACTTTCAGAAATACCTTGTCACGAACTTGGAACTTGAGATCTTTTCTTCTTCTATCGGCATAGCTTTTCTGTCTGTCTTGAGCAACCTTAATTCTGTCTCGAATCTTTTCCACGGCCTGTACGGTTCGATCTATGATCTCAGGTCCAAGAATCCTCCTTTCTCCAATCTCATCCCAGTAGATAGGTGATCTACATTTCCTACCGTATAGTGCCTCGTAAGGTGCAATACCTATAGTTGCTTGAAAGCTATTGTTATAGGCAAATTCTACTAAAGTCATGTGTGATTCCCAGCTACCACCAAGATCTAGTACATAAGCGCTTAACATATCTTCAAGTATCTGAATTGTCCTTTCGGATTGTCCATCAGTCTGTGAGTGATATGCAGTACTAAATTTCAGTTTTGTTCCCATAGCATTTTGTAGGCTTTTCCAAAATTTTGACGTGAATCTCGAGTCTCTATCTGAAATAATAGAAACAGGAACCCCGCGTAACCTGACTATTTCATTGACATAAATCTGTGCATATTGCTCCATGGTAAATGTCATCTTAACTGGAAGAAAATGGGCTGACTTTGTAAGACGATCCACTATTACCCAGATAGCGTTGTTCCCTTTAGCCGATCTCGGAAGTCCTACCACGAAATCCATGGTAATGTGTTCCCATTTCCACTCCGGTATATCTAGTGGTCTAAGCAACCCTGAAGGTCTCTGATGTTCAGCTTTTACTTGCTGACAGATGATACATTTACTTACAAAAAGTCATATTTCTCCACCAAAACATATTTCGAAGGTCTCGATACAATTTTGTACTTCCTGGATGTGCTGTATAAGCGGTAGAGTGTGCTTCTTCAAGAATTTCTTTCCTTAATCCCTTATCTTTAGAAACACATATTCTGCCTATATACATAAGTATCTTATCATCAGTTATCGCAAATCCCTCTTGCTTATCTTTCCCAATTCCAGCCATGATTTTACACAAAAATGGGTCATCCTTTTGAGCTTCTCTAATCCGTTCTCTAAGAGTTGGTTGAACCATTAGAGCCGCAACAATGGCTGACTTCTGTACCGAAGGTGTAACCACCTCTAGCCTCAAATTTTCAAATTCCTTAGCTAACTCTTTTTGAGTAGTTGGAAATGTCAACTTTCCAGCTGTCTTTCTACTCAGAGCATGTGCAACTACGTTAGCTTTACCTGGTTGGTAAAGAATGGTGCAGTCATAGTCTTTAACCAACTCTAGCCATCTCCTTTGTCTCAGGTTTAGCTCCTTTTGAGTAAAGAAGTACTTGAGACTTTTGTGATCGGTGTATATCTCACATTTACCGCCATATAGATAGTGACGCCATATTTTTAGTGCATGAACTACTGCTGCGAGTTCTAAGTCATGAGTTGGGTAACTCTGCTCATATGGTTTCAACTGTCTAGAGGCATAGGCAATAACATTTCCATGTTGCATTAACACACATCCCAAACCTTGTTTAGAAGCATCGCTGTATATAACAAAACCTTCGGAACCATCTGGTATTGTTAATACTAGTGCTGAAACCAATCTTTGCTTCAATTCTTGAAAACTGCTTTCACACTTATTTGACAATTGAAACTTTACTCCCTTTCTAGTTAATTGTGTCAGTGGTCCAGCTATCTTAGAAAATCCTTCAATAAATCTCCGGTAATAGCCAATTAGATCCAAGAAACTACGAACTTCGCCTACATTGGTCGGTCTAGACCAATTTGTTACATCTTCAACTTTAGCTGGGTCTATCTCAATTCCTTGCGCAATAACCACATGACCAAGAAAGTCAATACGATCTAGCCAGAATTCACATTTTTTGAATTTGGCATACAACTTCTCTTTTCGAAGCGTATTTAATACCAATCTCAATTGCTCTTCATGTTGTTGCTTATCCTTTGAGTATACCAGTATATCGTCGATGAAGACTATAACGAATCGATCTAGGTATTGATGAAAAACATGATTCATTAAGTCCATAAACACAGCTAGTGCATTGGTTAACTCAAATGGCATCACTGTGAACTCATGGTGCCCATACCGCGTTCTAAAAGCTGTTTTTGGGATGTCACAATCCTTTATCTTAAGTTGGTGATAACCTGATCTCAAATCTATTTTTGAGAACACCGTTGTACCCTTCAATTGATCAAAAAGATCATCTATCCTTGGGAGTGGATATTTGTTCTTTATAGTCAAATGATTAATATCTTTATAATCAATACACATCCTTATTGACCCATCTTTCTTTTTAACAAACAATACCGGCGCTCCCCATGGGGATGCACTAGGTCGGATGAAACCCTTATCCAATAATTCTTGTAGTTGTGCCTTCAACTCTTGTAATTCTTTTGATGCCATTCGATAAGGAGCCTTAGATATTGGTGTTGCCCCAGGCGTCAAGTCAATTGTGAACTCTATCTTCATGAAAAACATCCACGAACTCATTTACTACAGGTACATCTTCTATTTTCCTTTCGGACTGGGGTTTACTATTTATATTCAATAAAAATCCTCAACACGTATTCTTCCTCAACATCTTTTCTGCTTTCATTGCAGATATCAATCGGGGTAGAGTCCTAATTCTTGCTCCAAGGAATCGAAATTTTTCTTTTCCAGGTTTTTGAAATAAGACTTCATTCTTATGGCATACGATAGTTGCATAGTTTCTACCCAACCAGTCCATACCCAAAATTATATCAAAGTCTTTCATTCCCAAGATGTACAAATCTGCCTTTAGTACTTTTCCTTCAATCTCTAACTTAACACCTTTAATTATTTGATCAGTATTAATGACATCGCCCGAGGGTGTATTAACTTCTAGAATGTTATTTGTTTCTATGCATTTACTTCCAATCTTATCCATAAAAATTATAGAAATAAATGAATGAATCGATCCAGAATCCATAAGAACAATAGCAGGTATGTCGAATACTGGTAACATACCTGTTATTACGTCTGTGTTCTGATCCTCATTTTCTCCCATCAAAACAAATACTCTGGCCTTTCCCTTCTTAAGATGGTCACCTTCTTTCTTCTTCTCTGGACATTCTCTAAGAAAATGGCCACTTTTACCACAAATGTAGCATAATCCCTTTCCTCGAAGACATTCTCCCAAGTGTCGCTTGTTGCATTTGGAGCATTGAGGAAAAGTTTTGTTTGAGCTTGACCAAATCTTTACTTTCTGATTCTGATTCCTGTCTCTGTCGTGACCTTGCCACTTTCTCTTTATAGAAGTCTCGGTGTTGGGTTGAGGTTTCTTTTCCAATCCTAAACCATTAGAAATTGCTTGTGCTCGACGTACAACTTCCGCATAAGTAGTATGTTGCTGGGCTGCCATGATTCCCTTAATCTCTGGCTTTAATCCCATTTCAAACATTTTAATCTTCGTCAGCTCAGTGTTTACCATGTGTGGAGCATATCTAGAAAACTGTTCAAATTTTCTTTCATACTCCCCAAGTGGCAAATTTCCTTGCGTGAGTTGGAGAAATTCTACCTCCTTTTGATCCCTCAATGGCTGGGGAAAATATTTACCCATCAACGACTCCTTGAATTGACCCCAAGTAAGATTACATAGTTGTTCTGCAGTTTTAGTACGTGTTTCGGAATCCCACCAATGTCCAGCATCGTTAGTCAACATGAACTTTGCACATGAAACCTTTTGAGCGTCACTACAGTTCATGTGCTCGAAGATCCCTTCAAGTCTTCTCAGCCACTCCTCAGTTGCGAAAGGGTCACCTTTACCATCAAAGGACGGGGGTTTAAAACGACGAAACTGCTCAACGATTGAGCTCATGGCGTTAGCACCTCCTGTTGCATTACTAGGTGCCGCCTGAGCCTGCTGCCTGCCCAAGTCTTGCACTGCCCTCAATAAATCTCTAAACATAGTAGCTTGATCTTGTTGATGTCGTGCCATTTCCTTTAAGTAAAAAGTAATCTATCTTAAGAATTATTCAACCATGCTACATTCTTCCTATAGATCTTTCTAAGCCATGTCTGTCGTGTATATTATGCTAAGGCCAAAAGTTACGCATTAAGGTTTTAGTCATATGATAATCGTATCATTAATCGTATGATATGATTAATTAGCATTCTACTTTTGAATAAAATGATGCATAAGGAAAAGCTCATGAGATTATACAACTAATTAGCATGCATGAAAATATAAAAATATTCTTCATCTTTGCATACTTTAAAAATATTGGACAGTGGCAGATTGATGAGCATTGTATTCCACGGATCTTGTAACTTATTATTGTTATGTATATAAATTTTGCAAAATGGATTTTTTTTTTAAATTCTAAAATGAAAGTATTTTCATAAAATTTGAAATGGGTTTAAAAAATTGTTTTCGTCTTATCGATTTGAATAACGCGCAAGTAAAGAGGCTTCCAGGTGAGGAGGGGGGTCACATGGACCGCTTAAATCCCAAGCTCGCCTTAGACAGTTTAGATCTTTTTGACAAAGCCTTTTAGTTTTACGAATACGCAAATCAAAAAAACTCGAACAATAAATTCCCCCTAAAAGATTAAATATGTATAGCCCCTTTTTTTTTTTTTTGAAAAAAAAATTGTTAATAACAACAATACGAAGGTAGAGTCAATCATGTGGTCATTTCATAAATTTACGCATAAAAAGTCCAAACAATCCTATTCTACATTTATTTTAATTTCAATCGAAGAAAGAAGGTAGAAATTTTGGTGTGTGACATTTCATTATAGTAAATAAATCCTTATCCAAAATAAATTATAGTAAATGAGTAAACAAATAATCATGTCCAAGAATAAATAAATAAACACGTTTGGACAACTATAGGCACATAACCCCATTTTATATTACGTAAACAAAATTTCACAAAATCCCATTTAACTTCACTATTCCCGCGTCACTGTTCATCCGTGAACAGTGACTTACCCTTTTTATTTATTTTTTTATTTTTTTTATACACGAGAGTAGTGATGGTCACTGCACTGCACCAAACAAAACCAAAATAATAGTGACACAATTTGGATGGAGGTCACTGTTCACAATATTATTTTATCTTTATTATTATTTTTAAAAAAATATATAATCTCAACGTGGAAATTGGAAGAAGTAAAATTTACTTAAAATGAAATTCCTTACAATATCTAGGCAGCGAAAAATATTTCATGCATTCAAAACTATTCACATAAAACAACATTTTTTTTTTGAAGATTTTAAGTCTACAGGATCGATTTTAGAACGCTTAGCTCTGATACCATTCTGTAACGCCCCGAATTCTAATAACCCGAAACGTTACGAAACATGAATATAACTTGAAATAAACAGTTTTAATATAACGAGAAATTCTGTAAAAGATTGAATAACATTTAATCAAAAGATAAATTTAAATATGCGGAACGTTTGAAAACATATCATTATTCCAAAAATTATTAGAACAGTTAAAACTAATTGAAAATTTATAATGCACTCACAATTGGGTCAAAAATGAATAACCCATTATTAGTTCTAGTGTTTTTGAAAATTAAAATATTTCATGACGAGGATTCGTTGGTCCAATAGCAAATCCATCCACCGTCGTCCAGCATACTAATTATTACCTGGAAATTATAAATAAGGGGATGAGTATAACGAATTATACTCAATAAGATACTTGCTACTCCACATTCAAGTCAAACATGAAATTACAAATAAATTATCTTACCAACATAACATGAGAATTATCACACCATGACAAATGATAATTCTAGCAAGCGCTGCAAAATAACGTGAAGGTTAAATTGTGCCTTAAAATGTATCATGATTTCTCCCGAAGGAGCCTGAATTGAAGTAATTAAATTCATAATAACGTATTTGAAAAGATGTGGAAAAACCACTAATAGCACTGAGTATCTCACCTTTTGAAGATGAAAGTGGAGAATAAAATTGCAGAAATGTGATTGCAATTCCAAAACCTTAAAAAATCTAAATAATATAGAGGAATATTTTAAAGAGGGAGAGGTAATGGACGTGTAGTAGAAGGCATTACAGACTTTTACACGTGGACGGGGAAAACAAATCTGCCTCCTATTTGCATAATTTACTCTAATACAAACATCTTAAATTGTCAATCTCCTAATGGCCGAAAATTATAAAATATATGCTTATTAATTAAATTAGAATTTCAGTCCAATCTTCCCAAAATTTGTTCCAATTCGGGGACACAATGATTACTAATTATATGGACACGTGAAAGTTGTAATGAAATGCATGGGTTACTCATGTACTAAAGTCTAACGTCAAATAATTCAAATTCCTTTGATTTGCATTTAACTAAATTTGTAAGCAGGAATTACGTTTTAATTGATTACCTCTTAATTAAAAATGTATAATTATTAATACTTAACATAAAGACTTCGTTTAACCAAAACTTAAAATTCTAATTTATTTAGCTAAACTAGTGGTGGCAGTCAACTGGCGAAAAATCTAATCCTTTAAAACTCTTATAACCATAATATTCTTTAGACGGCTAAAACTCGGGTTTAACTTGACCAAATTAAATTTTTCTTGAGTCCATAATTCGCCATTTATTATGAGCTTCAAAATGAACCCAATATTGGTAGAGTAATTCTAACTCCTTCAATAGTTAACTATTTGGCCCATTTAATAAAGTATAAAATAATTTGATATTTATTTTTTTTTAATTTGGTCCCTCGACTAATAAGATAACTATAGAGATAATCAATTAACTTGCATAAGAATTTAACCAAACATTGCATTCCTATTAAATGGCAAATAAAAATATATGCGAATTTAGGTTAAAAATTCGGGATTCTACACGGTCAAGCTCCAAAAGGAATTATTACTGATCAGGATAGGGCAATGCAGAATGCAATCCAGATCGTATTTCCAAATACGAAGCACAGATGATGCTTATGGCATTTATTGAAGAAATTGCCTGATATTTGCGACTATTCATACATTGGTTTATGATTCCCAAATTGTTGATGAATTTGAAGGAGGTTGGATAGCAATGATCAAGTTACATGGGTTGCATGATAATACTTGGTTGTCAGGCTTTTACAATAATAGATGTCGTTGGGTCTCTTGCGTTTTGAAAACCACATTCTGGGTAGGGATGTCAATGACACGAAGGAGTGAAAGTGTGAATGTATTTTTTGATGGACACGTTCATTCAAAGACTTCTTTGAAATAGTTTGTTGAACAGTATAAACGGATACTACGGAATAAGGTTGAAAAAGAGTTCCAGGGCGATTTCAAATCGTTTTCACAAATGGTGTCGTGTGCGACAACCTATGATATAGAGAGGTAATTTCAGTCAATATACACCATTTCAAAATTTAGAGAAGTTCAAGCTGAGTTCACAGGGAAAGTTTACTGCGATATCATATCTTCCTCAGAATCACATCTTGGGATGATGTACTGTATACGAGAAGATGTTGTATACGAACAGCGCCGAAAGAAGAAATCGTTCGAAGTTACATTTTGACCCGAGGACTGCGAAATTAGTTGCAGTTGCCACTTGTTTGAGTTTAGAGGAATAATATGCAGGCATGCCCTTACTGTATTGATTCGTAATGATGTAACATCACTTCCCGAGTGGTACATTTTGCGACAATGGAGAAGAGATGTTAGTAGAGCACGTTCGAGGGTTGCAGTCAATTATGATGGGTTGATGAGCTCTGCTGGACAGTTAAGATATGACATTATGTGTCAGGCTTTTGCCACGCTGGCGGATCTTGCCGCAGATGATGAAGCTCAGACCTATGCCATAATAGAATGGATTTGACTGCAGTCTAAGGAGCTCGCGATGACGAAGTCAATCTATGGAAGTAATTCTATTTCGTATCGAAACAATGAGGTAGCCACTATACATATTGATTCCAAAAATAATACGAATCATAATGTATTCACAAAGTCTCATTTATTATGACATACATGCAGGCAAGTTCGACTTCAGTCAAACAAGAGAGGCCGACATCAAAGCATAGTAGTACAAGTATGGGGGCACCCGAACCGGAGCCAATTTCTGCAGAAAACCAATATTGCCCATCCCCTCAAGTCACATTATCACAATTTTCAGTTTCGACGCCCTTCTCATCACCAGAACTTGGCACGCCAACATCATTATCATATGTGCAACGCTTACAATCTTCCAAGTTGATGAATTCGTCGTCAACAAATGACTTGTACAATTCACAAGGTAGGTTCGCATTGATTGTATATTTATAATTCATTCATGTCATTTGAAGCATGCACTTATGGAAGTTAAATTTGTATTATAGGCCATGTTTTTTCGTACTATTATCCACATTTGTTAGACCGAGGTGGCCCAGGTTTTTGATGTTCATCGGACAACCCATGTAGTTGATGCAGTAAGTTACTTTTTTTTATTTCAAACCTCACAAAAAGGACTACATAGGTGGTTGTTTATGTATGTATTTCACTCATTTGTAGCTTGGCAGCGGAGCCCACTTCACCCATTCGAATGTTAAAGGCAATTCAGTCGTGTGGTGGATATTATATAGGTCGTTGCTTATGTATGTATTTCACTCATCTGCATCTTTCATAAATGTATGACACCAACCTTTTGTCCACGATGGGAGTTTTTGAGCTATATATCCATAAACATAAACATAATTTCTGATGGACGCTTTATGTGTATGTTGATGATGTTATGGGCAAGAGTGCTCCATGTAGGACTAGGACTGGGCACCATAAGTTAGCCAATAGAAATAAAATTGAGAGGGTAACTATTAAAAGGAAATCTGGATGTACACAATGACTTATTTGCAAGAGCATCCAACCATGGGAAGGTTGAAGTGAAACTTAATGCTCATGAAAAAATTATGAAATTGCATTTATAGGTCTTGGACTGTCGTTTAATTGGAAATTATACTTATTCCCTTTGAACATTTTGAATAGAAAAGTGCTTCATTATCAAACTATTTAAAGCAGGTGGTGAATTTCCATACTTTGAGTAGAAGAGTTTCTAATTGAAATTTCAATTGCATATTTACTCATTCGCCCATTTTAAATGGTTGTTAGATTTTTTTTTCTTTTTTCCACATCATGTTGGTGTTTGTAATCAAATTTTGTGGTCTAGTTTACAACTAAGCAATTTGTTGTGAGCCTTGTCCCAATTTTATTTTTTCATTCCAAGCTCGTTGCCTTGTTGGTGGCTTTTGCTGCTTTATGTATTTCTAAGAAACAAGTGCTTAGCCACACCTTACTTGGTCATTTTGAGGTGCACGTGACTTCCCTTTTAATAGCTATTTTTAATTTTGGTTGTTTTGATGGGCAGGGTGTTTGTGTTTGTCCAATTTAGAAAAATCACATCAACTGAGCACCTGGGTTCTAGAGTTTCTATGGTGATTAATTGTGTGCAAATGGACAATATGCTTTTCGTTATTGGACAATATATAAGTGCCTTTTTAAATGTATCATTGAAGAAGTTCCAAGCTCGAATATTTCTGATCTATTTTTCCTTAAATTTTCACCTTGATATTTCAAGTGTTGTGATAATTTTTAGCAAATTAATGGTATCCATAACCACAATTTTCACTCATTTGCAGCTTGGCAGCGAAGCCCACTTCACCCATTCGAATGTTAAAGGAAATTCAGTCATATGGTGAATATTACGTAACTTATCTACATTCAGTGGTAGTAGTGCCCCTTTTATTTTGAAGCTTCCATTGTAATCATTTTGACATAGCTTTTATACACTTACATATGGCTGGAAAACAACATTTTTTTACCACATATATTTTGACATTATGTAATGGGGAATCCATTTTTATGTGATTCCTATTTGTTTAATGTATATCATTTTACAGTATAGTATACATTTTGTTCACACAGTGTTAAAATGAGTTTATTATAGTGTACATGCAGTCAGGTGTTGCATTTCACTGTCATCATAATTTATTTATTTTCAACTTCAAATGTGTCCATTATCTAATTCCATAAAGAACATCAAGGGGAAAGCTACTGAAATGTATAGAACAGGATTGATTTACCCATTTCTCAATTTACTAGAATACAATTGGACAAATATCAACATTTGGAATCCACAATTTGTAATCTGTAATTGTCAGCAGCTCTAAAGATGGTGAAGAGAGATAGAAAGAGGCTGATAATATGTAGACATTAGCATAAAGAAAATGATTTTCAGTTACATTGGTTTCATCCATAGAAGTTACGTAGGTTACATTGGTTTCATCAGTTCCATCCATAACCTGCTACCAACTACATAGTTTGATGAACCAAACCCAAAAAACAATCCTTACATAAGTTAATACATAAAACGTTTAACAGATTGACTACAAATCAAGCCGGCCCCTTTCCTTTTCAATCCTTTTTGCACTGCCCGTTCCCCTGCGAATCGTCACGTTCACAGATATTTCGAAGTCCACTCCTTCAGTTAGCCGAACTTGAGATTCAAACCTGCAGGACAAATGTTCAGCTGTCACCAAGGTAGGGCTAGCATTAGTGGATTCGCCGCTAGTCTATCCTTCTACGACCCAAGCCCAGTAGCCATATTTATTATTGCAACATTTGAATAATCTCTCTCTATTAGGAGTCGGTTTTTCAACTGCTAAACACTTTTGAAATCCATTCTTACACAACAGACATTGTCGTTTAATTGGACATTCGGCGAAGAAGTGAACCATAATCCATTCTACAGCTATGTTAAAATTCCAGAATTCTTCCCCACCATTGTAGCATATAACTGAACCATACAGAAAACAATGTTAAAATCCTTCCTACTGTGCCGCAGATTAAGCAAGCAAGCAACGAAAAGCTCGAACTTCTAACATTCCCACCAATTCAAAATGATAGCCATCAGGGAAAACGATCGCCCAAAAATACAAAGCTCAAATAAGATTCCAGTATTTCAATGCAGCCACCCTTCCAAAAAAATTTTTTTTTTAAAAATTTGCAACCACAACAACATTGCTTACTCTGAAGCGACGCATATGAATCTCGTGTTCGTAGGAAGGCTATGGTTGTGGTTCGAACTGCACGATGGCCGGAAGTTTGCAGCGCCCAACTTCTTCACAAAACCACGAATTCGGACCAACGGAAGTGGAGAAATTTTCAAAAATGCGGTCTCTATTTTATGGGTACATAGAGTGGCGTTGCTTTCTTATTCAGCTAGGTGACACCGACCGAAGGTAGTGACGACGATCGGTGTGTCGGAGTAGAGAGTCGTGCTTTCTAGGGCAAAATTTTGGGGAAAACGGGAGAGAGACTGGTGAAAAATGGGGCAATTGTGTTTTTAAACCGTCAATTAATGCTCTTTTTTTAAAAAAAAAATAATACTTAAATTAAAAGCCACGTCACCCTATTAAAACTCTTGTCAACGCCTCCTGTACGAGTAAGGTGATTGTTTTTTTTTTACACTATTTTATTCACATGGAATTCACTTCCATGTGAGACTTCTGTATGATTTCTATGAAATGATTCTGTACAAATGGAAAAAGCCTTAGGTAAATTGCCTTGTTTCAGTTTGAAATAATTTGCAAGCACGTGTATAATTAAAAGACAACATATAAATTGAGCTAATTACAAGAAAAAAACAGTGTGGCTTTATGATGTGATACAAATATTATGGATGGGATTTTGAGGTGCAAGTGATTGTGATTGTGATTGTGATTGAACCCATATAGCAACGGTGGCTACAAAACTCACAACTAGATTAAAACCAGATCCCAAAAACGCCAACAAGCAAGGTTTTGGATTTTACCCACAAAAGATGTATCAAACAACCAATAATTGAATAAATTACCAACCTCTTGATCACACGATTTATAAATCTCACCCGAATTTGTGAACGCCACGAGATATTTAAATCTTAATAAGTTCGATTTATTCAATGAAGAACAAAGAAATGGAAGCAAAATAGCCTCTCTGATTAAATTCTCAATATCAAAGTATCGTTCAATAAAAGAAATAAAGATACTATTTATACTAAACCTAAAAAATAGAGAAAAACGGAATCAAGACTCCTAAAACATCGGAAGCTACCAAAATAAGGAATTCTAGACAAAATGAAACTCTCGTGCGAAAAAGGAAAATTTTCCCCCAAATTTGTTCCATGCAGCCGCATGGTTCACCTTGGCAACCTCTTTGTATATTCCCTACACACCACTATTCTGTCGCTTGGCTTTTAAGCTATGTGGTTGCATAGCTTTACTTTTTAAACCACTTTTTCCTTGTGCAGGATTTTGTGATGATTTCGGATTGTACTCATGGGCGAAAATTCGACAATTGAGTTGAAAGTTATGCCCGTTTTAATCCACGCTACTCGTTTTTCCATATATCTTCCAAAATTTTGAATCCAACATACCAAACATGATTTCACCTTCATGACCAACATATAAGTTATTATTTGGCTTGTTAACTTCAACATTTTGAACTCCATAGCTCGAATAAATTATTTGCATGTCTTGTTAGCTCGAATCTTGATTTTGCATGCCCCAATCAAACTCAAACTCTATCCTCAGTGATGTAATTAAAGAGGGGGTCAAAATTATTAAGAAACTTAAGGATTCAACGCATGTTGATAAGGAGCCAAGACCAAGAATCGAGCTAAGTTCAAGACCTCGAAGAGCCAATAAAGTCGTCCAATTACTTGATTGAGCTATGGAGTACAAAATGTTGAAGTTAACAAGTCAAATAACAACTTATATTTTGGTCTTGAAGGTGGAATCATGTTTGATGCGCTGATTTCAATGTTTTGGAAGATATATGGAAAAATGAGTAGCGTGGATTAAAACAAGCATAACTTTCAGTTCAGGTATCGAATTTTCGTCCATGAGTACAATTTGGAATCATCACGAAATTCTGCACAAGGTAAAAGAGGCTTTGATAAGTGTGTTTTCACACACTTATTTAGCTCACTAACATGACTTAAATATGGACAAAATAGTCGAATTATGACTTAATCTTGTTAAATTCATGCTATGTAGGTGTTTCTATGGAAAAGATGGAATTCAGAAGAAAAGAGCCGAAAAAGGACCAAAACGGAACAAAGCGATAGATCGAGGACCAAGTTGCAAATAATCCATAGATGAGACAGGAAATGAAATGAAGATTCAAGAGTGTTAAAGTTCAATCGAATGAGGAAAGGAGTCAAGAGGTGAAATATGGTCGAAGTATTATCAAGTATCAAATTTCAGGCGAAAAAGCTATGCTCGTGATTTTGAGTTTCTAATTGAGATTCATTTTTGGCATAGTAAACATCATAATTTGAGGAAGCCTATTTCTACCAAAAGTGTACATCTTTGAGTTTTCTTCCCAATTCACTTTGAATCACCTCAATCGGAGATCAGAAGAGAAAGTTATGACCAAAATACTAAAAGCTGTCCGGAGGAAAAATTTTATAACCATGCGGCCGCATGGTTATAATTCCTTGCGACCGCACAGGGTATTGCAGGGATCCAAATGAGCTGAAAAATAGAACCATGCGGCCGCATGGCTTTAAGGTCGATAAAAAATTCTGAAATCCCATTTTTAATTGAAACTCTTTCGGGGCTTCGTGGGGATATGATATAAAAGCCAAAATTCATCAGAAAAAGGGCAGAACGTCCAAGGAGAAGAAGAATACAACTTTTGGAGACAAGGAACACAAACTTGAAGCCGATTTCACAAGGATTCAAAGGGGTTTTCAAGGTTTTGTTCAAGAATTCAGATTTCAAGAACTTTCATACGGGTGTTATTCCTTCTAGTCATTAATTTCATTTTGTTTTCTGTAATTATGAATCTTCTAGACTAGGGTTTTAATTACTAGGTGATCGATGAACCGTTGTTTGTTATTTTAATTCTATATTTCATGAACTTGATATAAAGATTCGTTGGATATTTTGATTGATTTACATGCATTAATTTTCTTCCGCAATTAGTGGCCAATGATTGTGTGAGTATTGATGACTTGTTTCTTACATTCGAGAGAAGTGAAATAGGTTCGATAAGGTGTAAATTAACATAGGGTCCGATAGGGGATAGAGATATACCCCTATGCTTTATGTAATTCTTAAATTGTTCACAAAACTACATGCATTCTTGTATGTTTGCATCATCCATAGAGATATAGGCTGGTGGTGTGCAAGAATAGGTCTAATATATATCGAGAGAGTATATTGGATAGAATAGGAACATTGAATTGGCAAATTTTCATCGAATCATTAATTTCGAAATTAGGATTTTTATAACTTCAATTGGGGATTCGTGATCCTAGTGACTTTAATTTGATTCATTTTAATAAATTAGCTTTTAAACTTGCTTAATTTCATTTACTTGAGTGTTTAAGTCGTTTAATTAGAGAAATTTCGAAATTAGGGTTTCTAATTGAGAAATTAGGGTTTTCAATTGAAATTAGGGTTTTTAGTTGAAATTGGGGCTTTTTGCACTTAGATCACATTTTCACTCAATTAGATTCGGTTAAGGCTAGATTAAATAGAATTTAACTACTCAATCTCTGAGGGACGATATTCGGACTTTTAAAAATCCACTTTATTACTTGTTACGAGCCGTACACTTGCGGTAGTTTTAAATCGAAAGAATTATTTCGTGAACAGGCTTCAAATTTAATACTATGCTACCGTATAGTATAAAAGGCACGCGACTGCATAAACCATTCCCGAGACCAAGTTGAAGGATTTCAAATGAACTATACGACTGCATTGGATTACACAATGCGACCGCATGGTGTATTTCAAGACGCGAAGTTTCCTTTTTTCGCGAGTTACCTATTTATATTAGAATTTCAATTTTATGCGATCTTTGTAATCTTTAGAAGTTATATTTCGTTTTTTAACATATTCTAGGGTTAGCATAAATAGGTTTCTAATTTTCTCATTGTAGGAACCAAGATTTTTATGATGAATTGATGGAGAAATTTTCTCGAGAAGCTTCATGCTTCAAAATCCTTCGTTCTTAATTGAATGATGAAAGCCCAAGATTGACTAACCAAGAGGGGGTGAATTGGTTTTTAAAACTTTTTCGAAAATTAATTCTAAATATATCTATTGCATAAATACGAAATTGAATAATGAAAGTAATGTAAAGCAAATAAGTAAAAGGGATAGAGAGTGCAAACGATTTAATAGGAGGTTCAATCAAACTCAACCGATCTACGTCCTCCATTACCAAGCTCTCCGTCACGAACAAGGCCTTTTCACTATATTGATTGACTTATGATGCAATCCAACCCTTTTACAAAGCTTCCGGTGACTTACAATCAAGGAGCATCGATCCTTTTACAATGTTAATCTTTACGGGACTTCAACACGGCCCAAAAGTTTAAATTTACAAATTAAAACTTTTCTCTCAATAAATAATATATCAAAGTTGAGTATAATGAGAGAAAAATAGGCTAACACTTTAATGGATGGCAATGAATGAAGATCAAGTGTTAGATATGAAAAAAACTTTGAGAAAATAATTTTCAAATGTTGAATTAATCAAAGGTTTTTCAAGTATGAATGGATTGATAAAGATAAGTAACAAATATTTAAGCTCAAGAAGATCTCACTTTTAATGTTCTTGGAAGTTGTTTGTTGAATGCAAATTGAACAGGTATTTATAGCGGTAAAATCGTCAAATTTCTGTCCTATCGGACGACCCCTACCGAACGGTCAACTAGTCGTTTTTTGGTCAGAAATCAGAACTGTCACTATTTGGACCTTTGCACAAGCCGACTCTACTGGATGTCCGCCAAACACACCAGACGAGTCCAGAACAACCATTTCTTCACAAAAAATTATCTTTGATCGTTTAGAAAGACCATGACTTCTTTAGGAATATTTTTAAAAACTCATTTTCAAGGTTTTTGACATTTCCAAATATGCAATAAAATTTGTATCTTTGGAAAATAATTTTGCATGTAAAAATATTCCAAATATCGTTTAAAGATTTACTTTAAGCTTCAAACAATATTGCCAATTATTAAAGCGTTTTACCTTTAAACTTGAATACAAGAATTCTAAATCTAATGTCTTCAATGTCGGAACTTGATGAAGTGTAAGTCTTGAATAATTTGACGTATACATTCGGCTTTTATCTCGTCTTGCATTTGCTCATCTTTTTCAGTGTTTCAATGGTGAACTTTTCGTCTTCAATTGATCAAACTTGCCATAATTTCTATAATCATTCAATTGTGATTGTTAGCGATATAAGCAATATGTTTGTTATAATCAAAACGTGAAGTCAACAATTCGAACTTATCATGAAATTAATTTCCTTGTGGCGTTCACAAATTCGGGTGAGATTCTTAAATCTTGTAATGAAAAGGTCGTTGGTTTAATATGCCTTTGATTGCTTAATTCATTGTTTACGGGTTTAATCCAAAACCTTCAATTCTTTGGTGTTCTTGGGATCAGTGTTAATCTAGTTGTGAATTCCATAGTGTTCGTTGCTACGCGGGTTCACATCACTTGGCCTCTCATCAACTTGCATAGAAGGCTTATTGGTTCATGGCCTATCGCGGATCATATCATATTGTCCCGTTTAATTTTATTACTTCTTGCTAATAAATAGTATGCCAATGAATTTACACGATATGATATGATATACGACGATGGCCACTCGGTATAAATGATATGATATAATTTAAGCTCTTATTTGATTTTTAAAGATAAGATATGACGGTATGATTATTTTGATGCATAAATTAATATTTTATTCATGATTGCACAATACGCATGTACTACTGAGTATTCTTATATGCTCATTTCTTTCCTACCCTATTTCACAGGTTAGAACGGATCGTGTTCGAGCGCAAAAGTTCGATGGTGTGGTTGTGCCTCGGCTCGCAGGACTAAAATCTTAAACTCAAGCACGTAACTTTATTTCTATTGCAGCAAACATTTATTTTTAAATACATGTTCAGACATGTTTGTTAAAGTGTAATTGTCTACTTCCTATTAAATTAATTTGTACTTCCATTTCCTTGAATGTTTAACTTACACTTTGAGGTTTTTAATTGAATTTGTAATATTTGGTGTGAATTCAAATTTGTTCACCTTTTTACAAATTTAATTGGCCGCCGTACGCATCCATTGTGATATATTTGGCCCATGATCACTCAATATAAATGATTTAGATATATTTAAACGGAAAAATATCTATGGTGTTGTTTTAATGAAAAAATCATGCATGTATGTTTGAAAATTTTAATCCATCGTGGTTTTCGTTAATTACATAAAAAGATTAAATGGTCCCTTGCTTGTGGAAACCTATCATTAACTTATTAATCAATTAAATGACTTGTCATGTCACCGGTGCTTATATATATATATCAATCATTACATGTATGATATTCGATATAGTTGGAATAATTACATTAATAGTTGTATTTACAGTTATCTTCAGTTATATTCACAGAAGCAATAACCGTAAATAGACTCGAATAACTAGGCCATATTCAAGTACCTAAAAGGGCAAAATGGCTCGGTAGTATGTTAACGAATTGGTCCACTACAGACCAAAAACTTAACGTTGCTATCACAAGAATTGCAAAACCTTATGAAAACCCTATATATATATATATATATATATATAGATCATTCCTGCATAATGAGAGTGATACTTCATAATATTTCATGTCTTTCATTAACAATAAAATCTACTCATCTTTTACAGGAAAACGAAAAAAGCTTCCCACACGTTGTTCCATTACTTCATTGGATTTTTAACTTAAAAAATCGACAACGAATGAAGCTATAAAATGGAATAACTACAAATAAATTAATGTACAAAGATACTCCATATCAACTGAATTCTATGCAAGCAATATAGGAAAAGCACGCAACATCTACCCACAATCTTCTTTTGTATTTCTCTTCTATGCTAAATACATCAATGCCTTGTCTGTACTGATCCCATAAGAACTATCTTGCACTGTCCATCCCATTCAAGCTCTAAGAGCTTATTCGACATGCCTCAAATAACACCAATATTTGAGCACGAGAATGTTCTCAAGGCATCCAAGAAAAAGATCCTACGAGTTATGCTCATATCCTTCACCATTTCTTCAATCAAATCTTCTATGATCTGATATTCTATATCTTTACACAAAGCACTAACATCATCCTCCATTAATCCAGTCCATGCGTTGGACTTCAAATCCCGGGCCAACATACTGTCAACAGTATAAAAATATTCATCTGCTGGAGGATATAAATAAACTCGAATAACTTCCCATACGCGATTTAATAAATTCCTTCCATGTGGGGTTTGTGGCACTGGACTAATAACCTTATTCATATACCTGTACATGTTCATTGGTGGTCTTAGTAATGCTGGAAGCTCTTCATTTAGTAAGTCAAGTAACATTTTGGGATTTAAATGTTCATTATCATATTCTGTGCGCCATTCACCATCCTTGCTCTTTTGTCTATATGATTCTTCTACTTCTTCAAAGACCTGTTTGCTAATAGGGTTACCGAGTAGGTCCCATCTTGATAAAGATCTCTTGCATGAACCATCATACAAGCCAGCAGCAATGAGTAAATCCCTCACATAGGCTTGAGCATGGTTATGTATCTCCATTTCAACTTCAATGGACTGCTCATAAGTTATGGTCTCCTCTGGAACATTGCCTTCAAGTTGATTTAGTTGCCTCCTCAGCTCTGCAATAGAAATATAATATGAATGACACAACTTCTCTCAAGGTCTATGAGAAACCCTATAGAAGTTTTTTATTATAAAAAGGAACTACTATAAAGTCTCGAAGTATAGAAGATCAGTCATCAGATAACATCTCCGATGCTATATTAAAAATGCTTATTTTGACACTCTCTTATTATGAAATATAAGACACGGTTCAGCAATGGAAAATATTTGACCAATTCTGTTGCAGAAATGTAAATGACGACTATTTGCACAATGTATTAGAATCCAAAAATGAAGTGGAAACTTTTCCAGTTATCCAAAAGTGGGCAATCAACTATCGAATTATTTCAAATTGCCACACCAGAAATAAAGTCTGTTTCAATACACCGACAACTGTATCACCTTAAATAGTAGAAAGATGATGTTATGATTTTATGTCTTAAGCTTTCCAGAACTTAATCTACAATCCAAGTTTCCCAAGAGAGAAAAAACTTGCCTCTCTCTCTCGAGATACAAAAACTCTCTAAAGATTGGTATCATTGAAGGTTACCAATGCCCAGCTATTTCATGGAGTTAAAAAGAAGGATTATATTTTCTAGTTATATTTCTCTTGCATGTAATTTTTATTATGATAGATAGTTTCACTTTCAGGAAAAGTTAATATTTCCTCACTTGGCCTATTTGTGACGCACTGGAAGTGCTTCAAAAGGAGCTACAATAGCATACCACATATCTTCACGATGTCCAACATTTGATTTCCTTATGGACATCTTAAATTAACCAGATTTCTCAGTAGTTCTAACGTTAGAAATTTACCTTGGCATTTCAAGAAGATGCCTGTTGTATACTTTTATTTCTGTCCTAACCTGCCCCCGACTGAGAAGCAAATGTAAGAAACACAAGAAAAAAATCCATGAATTTTATCTTTTGGGGCACTTAATCAAGCTAGACCAATATTTGGGACAACCAAACAGGAATGGGATCCGATTTGATGAGAGGAAAGTACTACCTATGCTTTCTATTTCATTTATATGGTATAAATTGAAAATAGAAACATGCCACAGCAAAACTAGCATATAAGCCTCCATCTGGGAAGAATTTATAGACAGTTTAATACACTAATAGATATAAATGAGTAGTTGACAAGTGAATGGTACTTGTGAGTCAATTGGAATGAGTAATTGAAAATAAAGTTTGACCATTTATAAATTATTTCTAAATTTTGCCAAACGGCTTCTAAATAATAGATCTGGCTTGTCTGCCTCTTCTCATTCCCAGTCAATAGGAAACCAAGAAATCAACATTTTTCTTCAAAATCTTTCAAGTTCCAGGGATCCAAATCCTTTCTAGATAAGTAAATAGAAGTTGCACATCCAAGAAACTAACGGTTGAAGGACTGGAATGGTATAGCAACAAATATATCATTCGTCATGCTCACTAAGCCTCCGTATGGACAAATTTATAAATGATTTATAAAGACGAATAGTAGTGGGTTCCATGAAAAATATAGATAATAATGTGAAGTAGTTATGAATGTGTCGTGGAAACAGGTGACTTTGACTGAAAATTATAAACAATTTACAAATTGATATCCAAACGGACGCTAAGTGATGAAATCATTAATTCTTGTTACTTACCATTTAAGTTTGAGTTTATTTCTCTAAAAACATGAGGAACCTCACTGTGATCTAGTTGGTGTGCATCTGATGCCACTGTTGGGCTAAAATAATCAGCTGGCCTCCAGAATTCGTCATGAACACTGCTATACACCGATGCAGGGCTGGGTGGTACTTCAGTTGAATTTTCCTAGAACATAGATATACAGAAACCATATGTTAGCGCTATCCGTAACTCGTGGCTTCTAAAATTCTTTTCTTTTAGGAAGAGAAAACATTAAGAAATGAGTCACAATAAGATCCTCACATATCTGTCATACAAACTCATCACGACTGTTGGTTGACTTCTAATATCACTCATGCAGTCATGTTTAGCTTGATTCTCCTCTATTGACTGAACTCTCCTACGAAACAGCTTCCCCCTAAGTGTTAAGCCATATCTAAAGCCTGAAACCTTTTCTTTAATGTTGAACTTTTCCTTCTTTCGTTTCTTCATCAAAACGTTTTCAATGACTTCATGCTTCCTCCTGATTTGAGCCCCAGTCAGTATATGTCGATCCCTCAGAAGGAGCTTTCCAAATGATGTTCCTGATACTGGGGCTGACAAAGATCTAACGAGATTCCCAGGAGAGAGTTCCTTATGAAGCATTACATCATCAGGCTCCTGTCTAAAAGACCTACTTTGCTTTTTAGGCTTGTTTTTAATACCAGAATGATAGTTCATTCTATTTCCACTCCAGATATCTCTTGAATGTTCAGCTCTGCTCTTTTCATAATCTGATATTGATGATCTTGACCTATTGTGGGAAACCATTGGAACTTCCCCAAGTGTTTCCCCCTTAACATTTCTCAACCTCTCTGCCAAGAATCTCCTTGTATCCCCGTTTATGAACTCAGGAGAACCAGTTCCATTTAACTGAATTTCACTTCTATATGATCTTGTAGATTCTGAGTGAAGTAAATTCATCCCAATGTCCCTTGCGACACTTTCTCTGACTTCTTGTGCTATAAGTTGAGCTATTTGTTTTGGTTCTGATGGTTTTTCCCAATAAGGGGTCTCAATGCCTCCTCCCTTAACTGTTGTGTTCCTTTTATGGCTTTTAACTTGAAGCTCAGACTTTAGCCTTTCCTTCACCTTCTCAAGCAAATCTTCTATACTTCGTCTCTCTCCTGATGTGCTGGGAGTACTGTTCCATGAATCTTCACCACTGCACATACTGTCCGGACCTAAACCAGGCCTCAAAATCACAATTTTGGTGGGGGCAGAAACAATATCAATTTTCCGATCAGAATTCACCAGAGGAGATGCCTTAAAGTCTGTTCTTGACATTCTTCTTGAATACAGAGACCCCTTCTGCTCAGCTGCAAAATATTCACTATCATTTTTGCAGCCTTTTAAAGTATCTTTATCATGCAAATTTGGTATTAGAGCAAGATCCTCAGGTTCCATCTGTCTCTCACTAGCAAGGGCTCTCTCAGGATTTGCATAAAGAACCATTTCTTCTCTGTTGAAGTTTTCTTGTGCAATCAACTGGCTTGGAGAACTGCCAAATTCTACAATCTTTGAACATTCCTTAAACCGTGCAGCTTGCCATGCTTCAAAATCTTTCTTGAACCTCCGTAGTTCCTCCTCTTGAGGATGTTCTCGAGGTTTAGGCCTTTTCGACCTCATGCGACTGAGTTGATCAGGATCTCTGTTTATACTATCATCAAAGCAACCAGAGTCTATTTCCAGGGAAGAAGTAGAGGTAAAGGGGACATGACCAACTGAGTCCTTTCCTGACCGTTGCTTATTCAAGAAGTTGCTTTCTGGAGTCTCATTCTTTATGTCAACAACCTTTGATGCAGGTTTTGAATCAAATGGTAACATATCGACACCCATTAGGCGAGCCACTATGTTTGGTGCATTTTGTCTTGTGTTTTTTGTTTTAGAAATCTCTTCACCGATTAACTTCTTCATTGGAGCCTCAGTGGGATAGCAGTTCTCAGATTCCATCTTCTTGTGATAAGCATACTGAATAAATGTAGCAACTTGTGAGTAATCATGGAGAGAATGTACAAAATTGAGAAGCTTCTAAACGCTTTTAAAATAAAAGTATGGGTGTAAAGTCATAGGAATTGGAACTAGAATAGGTTAGACACAGAAAAGAAAGTGATCCTCTCTAACAAGGCAAGATGAAAAGTCTGATTATCAAAAACGGATGGGAAACATGATGGTGAAAAGTTCAATATTCGAATTGTATATATATTTTCAAGTTTAAAGACAATTTTAGAAGATATGTGGTTTAAAACAAGGGAAACCTTCTGATCCATAAGCTCCTAGTATGAAAGGTGAAGAAACCCACTCCTCAGAGTGATAAATTCCTATAGTCGGAACAACCAAAACAAGGCATTACGTTGTTACCTGAATACTCTCTCTCCCAGCAGACAAGCTGTAGGAAGTCGCTAAAGGTATCTCCAAACTGTTTCGAGGAGCCTCCAGGCCTGAAGAGTTGTGAAACAGAGAGCATTACTTTATTTCTGGTTAGTAAGAAGAGGAAAAGCATAATAAATAGAACATACAGATATCCCTTTTCTTACTTCGACCAACATGGTGTTATGAAAAGTAATCAAGCTATACTACACATTAATATCATGAGAACATGACATATTTGACAACTAAGTGGGATGGCAGTCATGAATATACATTCAGATAACTGCGGTCCTCTGATCTCATGGAACTTTATTTCGACAAATAACTGCTTCAGTAAAAGAAAGAAACTAGCGTCATTCTGCAGTTTGATCTCAAGCTTAACTCATAAATTATAAACCATTGTCGAAAAAACAATCCAACTAAAGGTTGACTTTGGAATTCTTGCATTTGAAGTGTTGCATCCTACATCTAAACACAGGTAACACTTACCACCATCAAGTGTCTTATGTACAACTACTTTCCTAGCCATTCTGTCCTCATCAACGTCAAGGTGTATCAGCTTCCCATGCACCAAGAAGTATTCCTTGAAAAAAAGCTGTATTATACTTGATAAAACATCTCTATATAAAACACCATGAAAATGAATACATCTCTATCTCACAGACCAAAGAATGAGAGATTCCTAGTCAGATCTACGGCCTGCAGAGTCAGGAATTTAAGTGTTTGGGAATTATTACATTGCAGAATTTTTCGAAAATGAAATAAAGAAGAATTCACACATCAATGCTTATTGAAATCATTCTATTTTCTACAGAGGTTAATCCATTTACTCGTATCAAGACCATTAGCATTCTTTCAGATTGTCCATGATAGCGTAATTAATCATACAGGTTACTATTGTTCAAACATTTGGAGAAATCAAAATTATTGTGTATTCCAATTATGGTAATCGAAAGCAACTTCAACTTTTACCATGAAAAAACAAACTAACATTCAGAATCTGTATATAAAGGGAGATTAAACTGGTAAAAAACTAATAATAGATTCAGAAATGACAAGGACAAATGAAAGATCGAAAACAAGGTAGACAACTTCAAATATTTGGTATCATCACATCGATGATGTAACAATTATTCATTTCTTCTGCAAATAATATGCGTGCAGTGCATGTGAAAACGAAGCACTTAAAGTTCAACAATAATCTCAAAATTATTCCCACCTATAAAACAATCATTGAATAAGAATAATTCCTTTTGTGTAATTAATGAAATGAATCCATAAAGCTCAAAATTAGACATGAAGCAAACTGGACTGGAACTCCTTAATACATGACAAATCTAGAAGAATTCACATTTTCTGATCAATACACATGAAATAACTTGGCACAATTTTGCACTTCCTATGATTAGACCGAAAGGTTCAGGAGGAGTTTCCAAAAAGTCAAACCTCAACCACCAGAGAGAGATGAGTGAAGATTCGAGACAATAATGCAAGAAAATTGTACACAAGAACTAGGATTTTTATGGACTAGTTCATTTAAGAGGAATCGTAGGAGAGAATGAGATAAAATCAATGATAATGAAGGAAGAAAAGTAATGTTTTTAGCATGAAAATCCATTGCTGGAATCAACCACCCGACGAGACCCAGTAACTCAGAAGTCTCTATATCCAACAATTTAAATATTATTCAAATTAACAGAAGTAGGAAAAAAAAAATTGAATTTATCGTTTAAAACTTATATTTTTTTTCAAGTTCTCGATCTCGCGTGATTCCAATAAAATAATTTTTTTCTTACTCTTTAGCAACACATTCTTTACAAAATCTATTGGAATTGAATTAAAATATTAGAATTAGTTAATCAAAATTGGGTAAAAATGAGAATTTATTGAGCGACGAGGGGACTGGTAGAGAAACGTGGGAGCAGGAGACTCAGAATTGGGACAGTTACACACACTCTTCGGCGTTTTCGCAGTCTTTTTCCCGTACTGGAAATGACGATTTTATCCTCTCCTGTCGTGAACTGTTGACACATTAATGCATGCTGTTTGAATTATTTTTTGGGAGGCAGCAATTTATAAAGGTTTAACTCCAACATTGTGAGTCCTTACCGTTCTGTCTCTAGAGTTTTGTTAGGGAAGTAAATTGTGGGATGTACTCCAACAGGTCAGGAAATAAAAGTTACATGTACACTGTGCCTACAAGGAGTCCAATTCCATATTTCAGGAATCGAACCTCCACAATGCTACCGTCAGCAAGGCGTGAGATAACCTCACTCCTGTCCTTTGCACCACTAGGCTATGCCCCGAGAGCTGGCAGCAATTTCTTGTTCGATGGAAAGGAACGACAACAGCTTATATAGGGATTTGCCACAATAACATAACAGAGGCCATAACAGAAAATGAGGAAAAAATATTTTTTTTATTTCTATGGGACCCACAACATTTGAGTGACTGTTTCCCTTTCTGGTAGAAATTTTCGATCACTCTAGCATTTTTCGGCTCTTAATCACAACACGACACGATTATCACAATTTCATTTCACGAAGCCGGATTGCACCTCTAAGCCATTTAACACTACAACAATCAGACAACTTATAAGCAAAAGATAGAATTAAGCCCTCATTTGGCGCTCATTAAATTAAATTTTATTTTTATTTCTTCTATTTTCAATTACATAATTTTCTCTAAAATAATATTGCACATGAATCGAAAATTTTTCTTTCTTTTTCAATCACTCATTCTCTGAAAAAATATTATTCCACCCATTATAATTTGAAAAAATAGGGGCTCAATACCTGTTTCGAAGAGAAATCATTAGTCCTGAATGACACGAATTTGTCAAGAAATCGTCTTCTGTGATCTTCCAACAATATTACATTGGGTGCTTGGTTAATATAGTAAGCGAAATTACTATAAAAATGTAATAATATTTAAAAAAATTCAACTGCAAGCATAAAAGGTAAATAAGTTATTTTTGAACTATTAATTACTATAATTAATCTCAAGCCATTTGAGTTTTTTGTTTGTTTGGAAAATCAATAAACGATATAATTTGTATTATTTAAAGAGCTCAAATGGTACTTTTCAAAAAATTATATTTTACAAATCAGGAACATTGTTAGTAATTATCTTGTGAGAAATATAAAATTTTTGTAACGATATACATGTAGAAAATCGTCGAGTATGTTGTGTGGTAATTTACACAAATAAATAGCGAATAAATATTCGGGCAGAATTTCGACTTACAAAATTAGCGTAATAAATCAGAATGAATAATGATCGAGACAAGAGTTCGACTTTTTCTTTTTAAGATGAAAATGTTTCGCACTGGTGCTGGCTTTCTCCTGGCACTCGTCTCTCAAGATACAACGACCTTGATTTATAATAGTAGCACTCCAAATTACAAGACCCGATAAACCTACTAATATTTGATCTCTCGAGAATCGGAGAACTAAAATGCACGAAAATAATATTTGAAACTGAAATGCAAATATATGGAAACTGCATGACAGAAAGACAATATTACAGGAGAAGGGAAGTAAAATAAATTTTTGGAGTGAATAAAAACTAGGGATTCTGGGGTCTATTTATAGAAGTTGAAAGGTTGTGCTCAAAAGACACAACAGCCGAAAGATTGTGTCTTGGAACAGACATAACCCATTTGGACAGGCAATTAAAACTGTCACCAATCGCCAATTTCTAAAAGAATCCACCCGTCCCGCACAGAAAATTCGGGGAAAAAAATAAATAATATAATAAAAATATATTATTTAATTAATAAAATAATATAATTTAAAATATTATTTTACCAAAAATATATATATAACAACTAGGCCAAGCCCAAGCCTACTTCCACGACCCGGGCCCGTGCACGTGCTCTTGCCGTGCCGAGCTGAGCCGACCGATCGGACGGATGGTGGTGGCAGCGCGCGCATGTGAACTTTAGTTGAACCTACTATCATGTAGGTCCTCTCCACTCTAAAGACTAGTGGTACCCTTTGGGCCCAAACCCAAATCCTTAACTTGAGTTATATAAAGTGGTTTCTATTCTTCTAGTTTTCCTATGTGGGATTAGCACTTTTCAATTTCCCATCAATTTTTATTCCCAATTTATTTCAATTTCAAGTGGTCATCTTTTGGTTTTAATTTCTCATTCTCCCTTAATTAGTTTTGAGAAATAAATACATATATCAATTCTACTCATGGAATATAATGCACTTGGCCAAATAAATCATTTATCCAACTAATGGGACCCACTTAAATAATTGGTCAAAAGTTGGTCAAACCAACTAATTATTCCAAATTTTCAACAATCCCCCATATGAATGAAAATTAATGCAATAGACGATGCAGACCCTAATGAGAGATCAGGCGGAAAGTTATTGTATCTGGATAGGTACCTTATGGGTTTGAACCTTACATAGTAGTATACTATCAAATTTACTTGGCTAATCAGTGAACGTGATGTCTTGAACTGTCAGCCGTTATTGGAAATCAAGACAATAGCATCAACACAATAACCTCCCTAATATTTTCGGTTTCTCACTGTCGTGTTCATTTTGGCACTGAACAACTCTTGAATTTCATAAGTGCTTTAGAGAATTTAAGCCCTTGAAACATTCTCATTGAAGCGGCCTCACTTCACACTTATATAGGTGATTTCCTATTAGGAGTACCTGTCATACTCCACCTGGATAGTTCAAGATATCAGAATCATTAAAAGCATATCTTAACCTAAGACTTTCTACAGATAACACTTCTCTTATCATAGGAATGGGTAGGAGTAAACTCAGAAGTGCTTTTTGAATCTTCATAACTTAGTTGTCCCACTGAACCAAGATCTTGGGATCTCCAGTCAGCAAGGTTGGGTTATCATTACAAAGATCCTTACTTAGTAGGCTTTAAACACATTCCCCTTGATAGGCAATACATTTGATCTCTTGGTAAACCTTTTGTGAGCGGATCCGTGAGATTTTTTCTAGATTTTACATAATCTATGGAAATGACACCATTCGAGATGAACTGCTTAATTGTATTATGTCTTCGACGGAATTGTCGAGACTTAACATTATACATACTACTTTGTGCTCTACCGATAGCTGACTAGTTATCACAAAGTATACTAACTGCAGGCACAGGTTTAGGCTAATATGGAATATCCTCTAAAAAATTACGAACTCATTCTGCTTCTTCTCCAGCTTTATCTAAAGTTATGGACTTTGATTCCATCTTGGATCGAGCTATATACGTTTGTTTAGATGATTTTCAAGATACGGCCGCACCACCGATGGTAAAGATATAAGCACTAGTGGATTTTGAGTCTTTTGTATCAGATATCTAATTAGCATCACTATATCTTTCTAATACAGCTGGATATCTTGTATAATGTAATCCAACATTTGAGGTGTATCGTAGATATCTAAGAACCCTTGTCAGTGCCTTCCAATGGTCATTATTTGGATTACTTGTGAATCTACTAAGCTTATTCACTGCATATGCTATATTCGGATGAGTACAGTTGGTGATATACATTGACTACTTATTATTCGAGAGTACTACAATTGAGATACGGACTCACATTTATGTTTGGCCAAATGTAGACTTAAGTCTACTGGAGTTTTAACTAGACTTTCATCATATATATGAAATTTCTTAAGCACAGTCTCAATATAGTGAGATTGAGATAGAACAAGTCCCTTAGATGTTTTAAGGATTTTAATTGCTAATATTACATATGCAATACCCATATCTTTCATGTTAAAACGTTTTGTCAACATTTTTTTGGTAGTTATTATGATATCATGATTATTACTCATTATTAGCATGTCATCAATATAGAGACATACAATTACATATGCACTGGGTGTAGTTTTAATATAAACACATTTATCACATTTGTTAATCTTAAAGTCATTTGACAACAAAGTTTTGCCAAATTTTTCATGCCATTGTTTTGGTGCTTGCTTTAGTCCGTATAGTAACTTAACGAGTCTATACACCTTTTTCTCCTGTCCAAAAGCGGTGAACCCCTTAGATTGTTCCATATAAATTTCTTCGTCTAGCTCTCCATTTAAGAAGGCTGTTTTGATGTCCATCTGATTGATCTCCATATTATGCAATGCTACAATTGCAATTAATACTCTAATAGACGTTATTCTTCTTATCGGAGAGTATGTATCAAAAAAATCAAGACCTTCCTTTATTTTGAATCCTTTATCTACCAATCTGGCCTTATATTTATCAATTGATCCATCAATCTTTAATTTTCTCTTGAAAATCCATTTACAACCTAACGGTTTGTTACCTGATGGGAGATCTACCAGCTCCAGTGTATGATTCTGCATAATAGAATCAATTTCACTATTGATAGCATCTTTCCAGAATGGAGCTTCCGGACTTGACATAGCTTCATTGAATGTCCTAGGTTCATTTTCTAACAAATAAGTTAGAAAATTTGGACCAAATGATGTAGCTGTTTTGGACCTTTTACTACATCTTAGTTTTTCATCACTTTGATGATTACCAATTATAGTATCATGAGTTCGTTTTTGTGAACTAATCTCTTTCCTATCCTTACAAGGAAAAATATCCTCAAAAAATACACCATTCCTTACTTCAATAATAATATTTTCATGTATGTCTGGAATGTCAGACTTATGTACGAGGAACTGATAGACACTACTATTATTGGCATATTCAATGAATACA